TTTTTTTTTTTTTCTTCCCCCCTTTTCCCATTATGAAGCACAGCATGGGATACCACAGGGAACCTTTTGGTAACAAAAAAATTCTTACTTGCTCTTACTGCTCTGATGGACTGATGTCCCATATTGCTAGGATAAAACCAGGCAGGGGTTTGCCTTAAGTACTTCATACTTTATTGACACAGTTACCTATTAGCTTATGCATGCACACACACAAAGACATTAACCCATTTCTTGATGCCATTCCTCATCCCTTGCCTTGTCACTAGATTTCAATTATGAAACATCTGTTGTAGGAAAGGACTTGTAGGAAGAATCTTCTCTTGATATGCCCAGACTGTTTCACACAACCTTCTCTTCACGTAACAGAGGTCCTAATGAAATAGAGAGGCAGTGTACACACCTGGGCATAACATGCAAAACTCTGAGAGCCACTGTGAGTTGATACATTCTCTGCCCTCTAAAATAAATGGGGTTTACCTCTTCTATAAGTGTAGAGTCCACCAAGAACTAATGGAGCATTGTTGATTTCAAACAGAAATTATATACTTAAGTACCACTGAAATCCAGTCAATGACTCTAATTGTCTTTAGAAAACCAATTGTCTTATCTTGTTCTGCACATTCAAGTAATTGTTTGCGTTATATAGTACATTACACAATTATACAGGTATAACTGCAATACTCAAACTATTTTAAACTATATTGAGAATCCATTAATGCTGCTTGATGTAAAAAGCTGGTAACTGTGTAAGATGAGGTTTTGAACAAGCTCCATCAAATCCTAGGAGGCATATTAGAGCCTAACAAAATATCATAACAAGAAAAACAATCACTTTATCCATAATGTCTATATTATTTTCATAGTGCTTAGTTTAAGTGTTTTGACAACTTTTGTTATTACCTTCTCAATGTATTATAATCTCAATGTTCACCAGACCATTTTTGCTAATATATTAGTGGAACAACTGATGCAACAGTTGTATCTATCATTAATAAATAAAACTGTGAGTCTATAGCAAATGGAATATCCTGGAATTAAGAAAATCAGGTAATATTAATGGAAACTCCCACCCTCTCTTGAAAGAAGCATGACATTGTCATCATGATCTTCAGGGAACTAAAGGGCTCCTACACAACACAGTATTTAAGAACAGGGAAATTCAACACTTGGTGCTACTTACTAAGTGTGAAAGGTATGCAAAAAAGAAAAAGACTTTAAAACAGAAGCATTGCAAGACCCAGAGCAGAATGGCAGATGAGATGGCTAGGTTTTAAACAAAACACAGGCTGGTCTTCTCCTTTTCAGCCCTTCCTTCAGGAAAGAATTCCTGAAAGATTGATAAGCAGACCATAGGGGAAAATGTCAGTGTGCCTAGTGTAGTAAACAATATTACATAGTTGATGAATGAAGAAAGGGTATAAGAAACTGTTGACTCCAATGGGAGCTGAGCTGAAAGTGTCCCTCAGCCGCTGGTAAATTTGCCCTTGAGGCTAGTGGTGGGGAGGGAAGTGAGGGTACCACTGAAGGGAATTTCTAGAACAAAGAACGAAGATGTTGTAGCTGAGGCAAAGGCCTAGAATGTGTTACGCTGCAATTCAGAGGTTAATAAGACTGCGTCAGGCCACATTAAGCCCCCTCTTCTGGGTAGGCAGAGGTTCAGTGCTGTACCTTTATGGAAATGTTAACTTTTATTCTCATTTCCAGGGCCTCCACCACTACTAGTGCATAAAAAGGGGGCCAATGAGATAAACTTGGTTTATCTGATCTGTGGGGAACACCTTAACGATTTTGCCTGTATGTGTTATAGCTTTGCAGCCTTTTTCCTCCTCTTTGGTTAATGGCTTCTCAGATAGTACCATTGACTGTCCTCTCAAAGGACAGTGCTGAAGTGCTCATCCTTCTTCACTCAGACACTTTTGGTTGGATTTTACCTTCCTGTGCTGCTCAAATTCTTAAAAATGAAGCAAATGTGTTTGACTTAATTTTTAATTTGTCTCTTACATCCACTCTGCAAGAGAAATGTTTTGAATAAGCTGCCTGTTAGCTGACTGATTACCTTATCGCAGGGCCATGCACTCCTCCACTTTGATTTGTATACAACAGATTTGCAGATTTAGTGATATATTTCTCTGCTAGTTTGGACAAAAATCAAACAACTTATTTGAAGTAGATGCTACTGTGGATGGTACAGTTTACTGGAGTATGGAAGTCAGACTACTCATTCAGATGACTAATGATTTGATATACAGCCAAAACAGGTTTCCAGGACATCAACATCATCACTTTTGTATGGTGATCATAGGAATTGCTTTCTTTCTCTTGTCAAGCTCTTTTTATGCTGTTACAAGATCATTAATAGAGGTCCCTTTGGTACTGAAGAGGCAATGTAATTCAAGTTAAACCTGCACCACAGCCACGACAGAAATCTATTGCTATCCTGAAGTAACACTTTCCAGAAATATAACTGAAAACTGCATACTGCAAAGGGATAAAGAAACAAAATTAGATAGCAATTTATTGGGTTTTGTGAATCCATTTTACTGAAGAAAAAAAAAAAGAAGAATTCACCCAAATGAAAACTTTGCAGTTCTCCTTGGGCCAATAAATTTCCTGATGAGACAAGATATAAATGAAGAGATGCATCAGAATTTCCTGAAAGAAATAGACATGATTTCATTTTGCCTTCCTTCTAAATGAAATCTATTTATAATATCATACCGATGCTTTAAACATAAGCCTTGCCTTGAGGGAGGAACCACAACCTACAAATTGCTTCACAACAGTTCAAGCGTTAAAAACACACAGGCTTCCTGATGAGAGGCTTCTTGGGAAATGAATCCTATCCAACATCCTTTCTGTGCTAATGCCAAAGGTTTCTTCTGTCTGCCACAGCATTCTTTTATACTTTCTCTGCTTCTGTGACTGTACTCCAATTCTCTAAAGTATTCCCCCCAAAGTCCCCAGGCCTGACAATACATTTGTCATTGTACAAGGGTACTAACTTGAAAACCGGGAAGTGTTTTACAAGTCAAGAACTGCTTCTTAACAAGGCATAGAACCAGTAGACAACAAATTAAACAAAAAATAACACTAATAACTTCAAACCAGACCCAAAGCAAATAAGCCTCCCTGAAAGATGAATAAATAGTGTATCAAATATATTTTATAATAAGACAATATTTATTTGGATGCCTTTTCATTTCATCTATGCGCTGTTATGGGGGTATCTCTTCTATAATCCCTTCTGCATCTGCAGGAAGGGATCATCTACAATCCTTTCCCATCTGCAAGGAATACAGACTGTTTTCTTGTTGCATATTTAGAAAATATCCATTTTCCACACAGGAAAACAGATTTTCCATCTAAATAATAATAATGAAGCTAAATAAGGATACAGCCACATTCAACACAGTGACCCTTCCAGCAAAATAACAGCTTCTTGAAATTCCATCTTGCAGGCTGATGTGTAGCTATTTTTATGTAAACTTCTGAGCATATCACTATCAGTCTCCTTTGATTTGCTCAGTTGCAAAAAACTCAGACATAACTGCTACCTCTCCTCAAATGATGTAGAGACTGTGAGCTAGTCAGGGCTTCTGTCTTCTAACAAAAATATTCATCTAGTATTAGATAAAGGCCAGAGGGGAAGGAGCAGAATCCTAGCCTTTTCTCAATATGAATATCCTCATTGTTAGGCTGCAGATTAGACTGGCTTTTATTTGTTTGTATCTTGATTCTTAGAATTTTCAAGCTTGCTTGAAGAGTAACACAATCCTAATATGGGTTTCAACATGACAGGAAGATAATTCCTCTATCCCGGTATTCTGTAGCCTCTGTCCATAGAATAATACACATAACAGTAAGAGAAAATGCCCTATGTCTGTGCTGCTTGTTACTTTGGACAATAAGCTGGGAATGATCAGGATTTGGGCAGGGCACCGGTGTTTCAGATTCATAGGAAAAAGGGATCAGTTGTAGATCCATGAAGTATAATAGTATTTACTAAGTGTGTAACTTCAACTGTGACCTTTCAGGAATTATTTTGATGTAGCTGAAATATCTACTTAGAAAAAGAGCAGGTATTCCTTCTTTATTTGGTATGGTCTCTAAATGTTCCTAGAGAAACAGTGTAAACATATGGGGTGGGATCCCATACAGTTCTCTCTGAAAGTCTAGGTGTGATGTGTGAGAGAGAAATAAGCAAATGGGCAGGGGAGGGAAGAAAGTGGAAAGTGAATAGGAGACAACTGGAAAGTCCATCTTGAGGGATATTGAAAGATCCCTCCCACACAGGAGGGATCCATTTACTCTAGTGGAAATCAGCACAGAGCAAAGAGAATCATCTCCGAAGACCATCTCTGCTCAGATGGGAAATCAGATCGGCAGAAAGCCTTGTTATTAAAAGCAAGCAGGAGGGAATGCTCCAGAAAAAGGTTCACCCCCTCCTCCCAGGTCCCAGCTCTACTTACTAATATTTCCAATGCAGAGCAGTGCTCTCAAACAACAAAATATTGTAGATAAATCTTTAGATAAATACAGATAATCACGATGTTACCAACAAGATCTTTACTGGGAATCCAGGGCACAGCACTAGTATTTAAAGTGCTCTCCCACCCTGAAGCAGTGTCAGGATGTTCTTGTGCATATGGGTTGTTTTTCCACACCTGATAGCTTAGAATTATAGATCTGCAGGAAGATGGTGACTTTTGTCATCCAGCAATGGCTTCATATTGAGCTTCCCACTAAAAATAATGGAATGAAATGGTGACAAGTGAGAGGATTCAAACTCAGCATCTCCTCACAGTAATTTCAGTTTAATCTTTTTTGTCACAGCAGTGTGATTTCTGTCTTTCAGTTTTCCATCTTTACCTTCCTTTCATTTGATCCTGTGTCTTGCTTTTTATTTTACGACTATATGTATCTTGGAAGATTAAATGGTAGAAAACAATACAGTGGCTGTATTGTTCTTCCCCTCACCCTGTTTCTTTGCATGCTTGCAGATGCCTGGAGCTTTGTCTTTCAAAAGTGCTACACAACACAGAGCTCGGTAAGCATTTCCTGATTTATGTTTTAAATAAGATGTTAATTATAATATTTATTTAAATTAAACTATTTATATGCACATAGGGTACTTTCAAAACCATTTTGTTCACAAAATTGCTGCTACCATTTATTACTACATGAATATTAATTGTTTTAATTAAATAGCAGTAATATGAACGTTACAAACCATAAGGAATAATACACAATACATTCATCAGTAAATCAGGGGGGGGTATGGAAGGGACATCAAGACTGTGTTATAGCCAGTGGGAAGACAATTATTCAATGGATTAAGGTCTATGTGTACCCATTAAACGTGTAAACACCTTATGCCTTCAACAGACTGTAAGTTTAGGTCCAACTTGACAAATGTACACTCAGGATTGTATACTATTGTATTAATATTTTCATTATTTAAAAGAAATAAATCAGAATTTCCAAACAAGCAGTGTTAAAGAGCATGCAAATCCAGAATGAGAGGAAAAAACGTCCTTATTCTAAGCAGGCCATAGCTCTCTGAAGACAAAATGCCTGAAGTGGGACAAGCAGGCAGCTCCTGACTGGGCTCAAAGCTCCCTGAAATTCCTGGGGAGCAGTATTTTAAGCCTTGACATTTTAAAAAGATGAGCATTTTCCTCAGCCCATTCTCTCTTCCTTTTCCCCAGTGCTAACATATCTTCTTTTTAAATACTCATTACTTGAATGCTGTGGTCACACAGCATCGATTTCAAAGCTTTTCTTCCGTGTGCAGAACTGAGCAGCCACAGGAGCAGGGCTTTGAAGAAACAGAAGAGACAAGCAGCTGATTTCACACAGCCTTGAAACACTAAGCAGCAAGAAAGGACAAGCGAAGGGGAAACTCGAGTCTGACGTCAGAACCAGCATTACTGTTATAAAGTCCCTTGGTTTTCTTCAGGGAATAAGATGCAGGGTTGGGGTCTTGGTCCAGTCCTGGGATCCTTGGTGCACTTCCGCTTAGAGCTTGCACCAGACTTCTCTTCAGAGAGGGGGGAATGACCAGGTATCCCCTATGGCAGGTAGGATGCTTAGCCAGAGACGGGTGTCTTAAGATTTGCTGCGATGTATCCATGCGGTTTTTTTCCCAAACATGATTCAGAAGTGAGTTACCAATAGACTGCTCTTCTTAACCAATGTACCAGCATTGTTCAGTCCGCTGAAGTCATTATGGGCTCCAAAGTGAAATCATCCCAGTCCCCTTCATCTCAGCATCACTTTGGCATTCAGTACGTATCAGTATTTTTAATTATTAGTCAGTGTCAAGTTCCTCAGCAATCATGATAACACAGACATTCTGTAGTTCTTATAATAACCCCTTGTTTAGAAATAGAGCAATTTTTAACCAGTCTTTTTATCTGATCATCAGGGCTACCAAGATGGTTGGTGACTGGAGCACTTGCTCTGTGAGGAGCAGCTGAAGGAAGGGAACTTGTTCAGCTGGGAGAAAAGATGGATTCAGGGGGACCTGATAGCACTCCCCCTAAGAGGTGGTTACCTGGAAGATGGAACCAAAGCCTCTATGGGCATGCATGACAGAATGATAAGTTAAAATGGGAGTTTCTGACTTCAAAAAGAAATAACAATCTAAGGGAAACTAAGCATTGGAACAAGTTGCCCAGGGGGTTGTGGAAAAAGTCCTGGGCAACCTGCTCTGAATTCAGTGTTGACACTGCTTCACCCAGGAAGTTTGGCTAGGAGACCTCCAGTATCCTTTTCAGCCCAAATGAGTTTATGATTCTGTGTGGATCTTACAACTAAAGCTAGACCAAGGGAGCAAAGCCTCAGGATGTGTGCCCTAATGCAAATCTCAGTCTTGCTCTGGAAAATCCCTGAAGTCTCAAGAACTAATTTATAACTCTTCACAGCACTGTGAAATAATATGTGTAAGATAAACTCAGGCTGTGTCTATTCTGTATTCTGTATGTGTTATTCCAGATAAGAACTTAAAAAGATAAAGCCCTATCTATCCTCTAGTCAGTAATGATCTTATGGCAATATTTATTACTTCAGAGCTTTGCTGTGAGTCCTTGCTAAGACTTCTAGCTTTGCAAATCTAGCTATAGCCTTCTAACTCAGTCTTACCTTTCAAAAATATAAAATTATTATTATATAATGTACACAGTTCTTTTAGGTACCATGATTCTATGAAGATATGATCTCTTCAGATCCAGTTTGAACAAAGCCACAAATGAATTTTATTCATATTTTGAATGACCTATAATCCAGAAATATGCAGAGGTTTATTTTCAGCCATGTCAGAATATTCATCCAACAAGCCTCACTTACAGTTTAAGATCCATACCATGCCTTACTGGGATTTCAAGAGGACTGAACATTTCATATTATTGACACCTTATATGATGCACTGTATAGACTGTATAAGGATTTGCTCATTAGTTTCTATTGACTAACATGAGGCCACAATGTCTGTTCACATGTGTCAGCAGTTTTGTTCTTGGTAATATTGATTTGCTTTTATTTCTACACATAGTGACACTATGACGTAAGAAACAAAATCCTAGGAGGCAGTGAAGATGTAATTGTAGAAGTTAATTCCAGTTTGTGATGTATATAACAAAAGCATATTTGGGAACAGAGTGGATCTGGCACTATGGATCTTATGCAAGTTCTGCCATGTAGACCCAATGGGGCACCAGTTACCCTGTGCAATGTATTGATCCACCTTCCCTCTTGCTCAGGACAGATGAATTCAAATGTGAAGAAGTGCAGAAAAGAGCTGCTAGATCAATTAAGAAAAGGTAGGTTCTAGAGACTAGGAGCTTAGCTCTCAACGTGGAGGTTGAAAGAAGATATAATTTTTCTTTCTAAATACATTAAAGGGTGACAGCAGGAAGAGAGAAGACCTATTAAAACTGAAGAACAACACTAACACAAGAACAAATGAGTATGTGGTATGACTCAGTTTAAGCTGGAAGTTGGAAGAATATTTACAGGATTAGCCTTTCAGTATGAGTAATGAAGAAGCAAAGAACTTGTGTAGCTTTAAGATAAAGCTTTATTAACTTTATGACACAATTTCTGGTGATGGCATGTATCCAGGAGTTCCCTTCAGTCTTATGAAACGTGTTAACAAGACACATCTACTCAGACAATGTTCCTCCTCCATGATTGCTATCTAAGGATAAATTTAGGATGGGAAGACATTCTCTTCTATGTGACTAGCAGAGCAATCTTGCATCTTAGATCAAGAGAGAACATTACATAATTTGTTCATGCCTCCTTTGCTCAGAACAGAACATCCTTTTACTTTAAAATCTTGGCTCCCCAGAAAGTTATAGGAATTTCGTCACTGATCCCAGTAAAAGGCAACTGTATTTTTATGTATTACAATCCACGTGTTGCATGGCTAATGCTGTGGCTACTCAACATTAAATAAAGACAAACACTAGAAAAGTCAAGCCTTCTGAAATCACAGGGGTAATTGTTAGAGAAAAAAAAACATGAAAACCTCTCTACTCCTTCTTACTTCTTGTTTTTCCTTGCTTACTTTTTACCAGGCTTTGGGGATTAAGAAAAAAAGAAAATCACCCGTAGTTATATAGCTATCAACAGTGCTTGGGGTAAAGGATATTTCACTCAAGGGAACAGTGTCTAGATACCCATCATTCTAAGATAATACGCAGTGATAACATTAAACCCAAAAAATCGCCTTGACACAAAACAACATACTTTTAAGAAGAGTTGAATTTGTTATTACAAAATAAATAGCTGGCCACACCCCCAGACATCTCATAAAAGCATATAATAAACTAGCATGAAATCAGATTAATAAAAAATTCACAGTGAAATGAAAGACAAATAAATCCTTAAAGAAAAGAACATCACACATGAATGATGCTTAAAAAACCATGAAAAGCAGGACAAACTTAAAAAAAAATATATATACAGGTTGTGAAGTAGCCAGCAACTGTGAATACTACAGATGCAGCTGTGGTATAATAACCCTTTGCACTCTCAAGATAATATTTTTAAATTATGGATTTTCAACACTAAGATTTCCCGTTGCCATGACAGCATGAAACAGTGTGGGATCGTTTTTGGAGGACAATGGCCACGTTAGACAAAAGCAAGACTTTGGCTGCATCGCAGAAGGGATGTGAAAAGAGGAGGAAGAACTGGGAGCGCTATACAGCTGGTGAATGCTGAGAACATCTTGACCTTCATCGGCCAGAAGCCTTGGAAGTAGCAAGTGGGAATGTAGAAAAACAAGATAAGGATGCTGAGATCTGCCTGAAGAAAACAAGCCAGGCTACAGTTGATGGGAAACATCTGGTTGCTTCTTAAACAGTGGAAAGTTTTCTACCTTGAGCTAAAAGTGTATAGAACGTTGTGTTTGTGCTTGTAAGATTTAATTAACCAATAGGCATTAGGAGAGCAGTAACTAACTTGTAGCCAATGAATTGTCTGGTGTATTATGGACAGGAGGTAATAACCAATCAAATGTTAGTCTTAGGCGTGTGAACGGTGTGTGAAGAATGCATGTAACCAATCAAGACTTTTGTTTATGTGTGATCAGTTACTAGGAAGATTTATAAACGCACTTGTATTGGCAATAAAGGGATTTCAATTTCTGACTCTTCTAGAGTTGCCAGAGTCGGTGATTCTCCTCAAAACAGGTGTTGCCCATCATTATGGATCATGTGTTTTATAAATTTGATTATATTGCTGTAGTATTTAGGTTACTTGGAAAACACCCTGCTGCATTTCGATGTATTTAATTTTTAGAGAGATGGTGCTTATTAATTCTTTCAAAGGCACTCTTATGAAGGGTAAAATGTCAGAAATATAGTAGATTCTGCTCTCAACAAAATTAATCTTTCTATAAGTACAAATACTGTACTGGATATTTAATTAACATATACCTTAGTGCTATAGAATTATGTAAATCTACACCAGAGATCAGGTTCTGTTTAATGTAGAATTATGGTTCTGTGACCAATGAAAATATGATACATTTTCAGCATATATCACCCTGTCTATTCCTGAGTGCTATAGTACTAATTACTAAGTGTAGTGTATTTGGCATACAACACATTTAACGTAGCAATTATGTTTGGAAAGGGATGGGCTTATGCTTGTATCAGGATATCCCCATGTTGTGAAAGTTCTTGGTTTGATTATTTGGTGGGGATTTTTTTTCTTCCTAGATTTCATAGTATAACAGAAGGGAAGGAGGTGTGCATCTTACTGGATTCCTTACTGTCTGCAAAGATTCAGTCCTCTAAGCCCCAGGTACAATAAAGATGACAACACCTCTGGCAAGAAAATGGACAGACAGAATCTCTTCTATTCACAATTTTGGAGCAACTTTGCACTTCTGATTGAGTGCTTAATATGTATTTATATATAATAAAAACGTAGATGCTTTATTCTTGAAAAATATAAGCAAATACATCCTCAGTTTTGCAGAGGATACTATCAACACTGCTCACACTGAGGCTGAAGCACAACAAAGGTCCCTGCAAGGTCTCCAAGGGCAGGCAGCCGTTGGAGCACTGCTGGAAGCAAAGCAGCCAGCTAGTTCTGACATGAGCAGGACTGCTCTCCTGTTGTCTCTTCTAACAAAATAATAATTTTTCTTTGCTTTCCCTCCACCCCATGCAGCATAAAAAATCATATAATTATTTTGAGAGCCATCACAACAATGTAGTCTGTATCTCATAAAATTTTTGTGATTAGCCATTTGCCAAACAGGAAAATGAATATGAGATTCTTCGTTAGGTTACCATCAGTGAGATAATGAACTTGGGCAAATATATCATGATCTGGTGTCACTGCACCAGCTAAGAGGATTAACTGGCTGGTTTTATCCCTGTTGGTCCTACTTCAAAATCCTACATGTGATTATTGTAAATAGCTTAGTATTTTATTCGGCAGAGTGATATAGGTATATTTGTGTACATGTAAACTTCAATCTCTCTACCAGATAAGGGACAGACAAGCTCTTTTTGAGGCAACACAGATTTTTCTGTATTGAAGAGGAGTAGTGGAGAAGAAAACATAAGAAACATTTGATTCTTAATTTTTTCTATCATTAAACATGACATATAACTGAAAAGGTAATAAACATGATAATGAGTCTGGCAAATTCAAGAAATTATCTCTAAATTTGAGGTGAATTGCTGAATTAATGTGAAGAAGTGAGTGGTGTATTCATATACAGTATCCAACTGCCTCTGCTAAAGAGCTAAAGATTATCAACTATCTTTATGATGTGTGAAAAGCAAAGTTAAGCCTCACAGTAAAACACAGCAGAAGGTATACTAGTAGATCAGAAGTATTCAGGAATATGCAGAAATTTGGTTGGTTACATTAATAAACTGCTATAATGCTTTCTTGCACTATTTTGATGTGTATCAATTAGCACTATCCCTAGCAATTCCCAAGCCTGGCTTAGATAACATGTGCTCCAGAGAATGGTCCCACAGGCTGCAGGCTCACAGAAATTTCTTTTCCCAGGTCTGGGGATGGGCATGCTGTGCCAGTGCCTCTGGGCCCGCGAATGTTTCTGGGCACATTTAATTGACCTGCATATGAAGTCTACAGCAGCTGAGACACATGGTAATACAGAGATGAAAAATAATGACATCGTGAGATCAAACTAGAAGCTTGCCTCAAGAACATTTTCAAATTTATGTCGTGCCAAACTCTAGTATTATTCTATAGAATTTGCATGATGTAAAGATGACTATATTCCTAAATATCTCTGCATATGGTTTTGCAGTTTATTATATCTGCTCCATGTAAAGGGTCCTTTATTTCAATACCATCCACTGTATGATTGCATCCTACATTCTTGTGAGCATACCCAGTGACACAGTCACAATCCAAGGGTATAAAAGAATCCAAACAGCAGTAAAAGCCAATTCTTCCAATGGTTTTAAGCAATATTAACAACATTAAAGAGTTCCACTGGCACGGTTTCCCCTTATAACTGTTGCCAGGAGCTGTATCCACATTGGTGTATAGGCAAAACACCTCTTCTGCAGTCCTGCGTTGTTCAGACATCACAATTCCAATGTCAGTGATTTTTTTCTTTACTGATTGTAAATCAGTAGAAGCCATGTATTGAAGCCAGATGCAATGCTAACCTTGCCTCTGTGGGTATTCTGCCTTTCCTACCCTACTTCCTTGAGAATCGGTATGTATCTGCAAGTTTACAAGCACACAAATATTCTTAAGAGTGGGGAGGTTTGGTTAGATTTTTTTTTTTTTTTTTTTTTCTGGGTGGAGGGGGGATTGATAAAGGATTTTCATGCCTTGTTAAACCAGACTCTATTTCAGCATATTCCTTCCCTTCTCTTAACACAGAGCTACTTTGTGAATAATCCTGTGAAGCTTGTATGAAACAGTTGCAAGAAGGAGGTAAGGAGCTTCTGTAGCTAGGTGAAGAGCACAAGGCTTGGTCACAAATGATTAGGACAAACTATAAAAACTGCTGATCACAGAATGAGTCATCATGGTTGTCTAAATTAGGGGAAACTGAGTCAAGGTTACTGATGATGCTTTGCCAGGTTTCCCTGTGGACTGGTAACAGCAGCCCATCTCCTCCAGAAACATCATTTAGCTCTTGGTGGTCAGCTGGAAAGCATCCTAGAAAACTCCTTGTTATATAGTGCTTAATATCTAGCAAATCATTATTTTTCCTGATCTAAGACTGAACTGATCATCTAGGGCTGGATAGCAAGGCACTGACATAGATGAGTACATAACTGCCTGAGAAAAATAGCCCCCTTCCTAACAAGTTGACTCTGAATGCTACATGCCCCTCCTATCTTTCACTACAATTGCTAATTTACTAATGTCCAAAAAGCTGAATTTTTCTCTTCCTCTGTCAACTATTTAATTTCAGAATGTTAACCCAATTGTAAACTTGTGGTCCAGTTCTGTATACTGCAGTAGCATGGGAATTACTTTGCTTTAACAAGGCCCCCTGCATTATGCTTGAAGCAAATACATTTCTTTGGTTTCCCAGAACCCTTAATAGAGCTTCCTATAAACATGATGGCACTTGCTGACAGAAAAGCTATTCAGAGGGCATGCTCAGAGCAAATGCATGCAGCAAAACATCTAACACATCCAAAAGGAATTATATCACAGAGGGCACCTCAGCATGTTTATCCTTTCATGGAGTGCTAGTAATCTGTTTTTTCTACTTCAGTAGTTTAACAGTTCTTTGCAAGTGTGAAAGGACAAGACAAATTTTTATTATGTGGCATATATAATTCATATTAAATGTAAAAAATATTAGACATAGCCTTTCCTAAAATCCTTCATTTCAGTCATTATCAGAGCCTATGTATGGGTGCACCAGAAAAAGGGATTCAACTTACAGACACACAAGGTAGTACTTATACTTTACTTACACAATAAAATGCAGGCCAGTCATGCTTGTTCTACCATAAATGTATTTTTCTTTCATGACTGGAACAAGTTATTCAAAGAAGTTTTAAATTCTTTATTAGCAATTACCCTGGACGCATGGCGTTAGGATGCATCAGAACAAGAACTCTGCAGGAATACAGTGGAATTCAGCCACACCTGAAATGAAGTATGACAGCACAAGCCTGGCTCTCCCGAGTGATGGAGCTGGCAGGAAAATATGTCTATAAGCCACTTTGGGGTTATGGAGACCAAGAAGGTGTATGAACAGGAATGCTTCACCTCCACTCCCTCAGAGAACCAAGCCTTAGGTACCACACCAGAGTGCTTGTTCAATCAGAACATTCAAAGCAATGCAGAAGGAGAGGTCAGGTAGAGTTATCCTCATAGCTCAAAGATGCCTCTTAGCTTAACAGCCTTCATAATGCAAGATCAAATAGGAAAGCTCTATTCATTCAGTCAAGAGATTCTGTACATTTTCCAGTGAGATTCAAACTACTGAAGTTTTGTCTCTTCAAATTCTGTAGTCTCTGAATAAGATGTAGGTATTAAGTTTTTCAATCTCACAATATAGTCATATGATTCTGCTTTTTTTTATTCCTTTTAGAGTCTTAGAAATTCATCCATGTAATAAGCTCCCCAAACTCATGCTATTTATTACAATGCTTACAAATCAGAAAACTACATTTTCAGTGCTTTCTTTTGATAGGTACCAACCATTTCAGTAGTATCTCTCTCTTCGCAAAGAAAGATGCAAAACATGCAGTCTGTACAGTCTGTAGTGGAGCCTGGATGTTTTCAGAAGAATTTTAAAGGAATGTTTTCCCATCCCATCCCGGAATTGATCCCAGTCCTACACTTAAAGAAATAGGTCAGCAAGAGATGCATTGCCTGGGGTCCTTATTATTCTTCTGCTGCAGTAGAACAGAAGCTATCTTCAAAAGATGAAAAAGACAGAAAATTCTGTTCTAATAGATCTAAATTTAAAAGCTAACACTACAGATCTTGGTACAACAGACAAGAAGCTGACTCGCAGCTGACCTCTCTGTCCCAGCCTCTCCCCTACTCTGGGACTTTTGGTATCGGTGTCAGTACAGACCATTACAGATAAACACAGGCATAGGCAGAGAAATTTGAAGAAGTTGTCAAGAAGTTCAAACAACAGGCCTGTTTCTTAGGGAATAGCAACCGTCCAGGTCATACAGATACTAGTTTCCATTACTGTGCTCTAGACTTTTCCATCCATCTGTAAGTTTTGACTTCTGATGGAATTTTTTTTTTTTTTTTTGCATGAATAGCATTGGTGTAAATTCAGGGACAAAGAGTTGAGTTACCAAGCAGAGAGGATGTTGGTTTCACAAATATATGACAGTAAAGGTAAAGGGTTCTTAGAAAGGCCTCGGACAAGAGAGAGGTGGGTAAGGGGTAATTCTGCTGGGGCAGTGTCCTGAGCACAAGGAGAAAGTGGAAGAAGAGCTGTTACAATTAGTGGAAGCAGAGAGTGGCAGCCAACGGCAACCAGTTTCTTACCTCCTGGACAGTCCAGTGGTACACAGCAACTTGCCTGTAGGGTGTTAATCAAAGGACATGGTTATGACATTGAGAAGAGCTCACACTGAGGGCTCATAAAGCTGATAAACCTTCCAGAGAGCAAACCTAGACATGCACTGCCCATTCAAATTGCACACTACTGCATAAATCGCAGAGGTATAAAGAAGAAATTGAGAAAGGAAATGCAAAATCAAAACTGCTTGAATCTCAAGGTCCAGAACAAATGGAATATATTTTAGTTTATACTTTAGTATATTTATACCTGCTTTGGGTACTAAAGTAATGAATTCTTGTTACTTAATGTTGTGTTGAACTAGGTGACAGTTGACTTCTGTCACCTACTTCAGTGGCAGGGTCAGAGCTATATTGAATTCATGAAGTCAGACATCTTTATGCTCGGCTATTAAATTTACAGCCTCTTACTCCTAACTATACCCCAGAAAAGCACAACAGGATGATGTATAGAACAAACAAACAAACAAACTAGTTATAGCCATTCTTGTAAAGGCTAGGGAGAAAAAAAAAAAAGAAAAAAAAAAGAAAACCTGGAAATGCAGAGACTTTCTCTTAGAGATAATCTTCAACTTTTTATACAGGAAAACCCTGTGATAAGGTTCTGCAGTTTCAGATTTCACCTAACTGTAGAAAAGGAGTGAGCTTTTTTCTCAACTGTTGTGTGAGCTAAACTCTCAGCTGGACTGCAAAACTCACAGTACAGAGCTACAAACAAAAAGAACTGTACATCTGCTGGAGTGGTTCAAGTAGTTCTCCACTCTGATTCAGTCTTGGGGGTCCTGCATGTGTTTTCCTATGTTTTTCTCAGCCTTTGCAGAGTCTATCTGAGAGCAGAGTGCTGAGGGTCTAAGCAATACTCCCCAGTACCCATTTCTAAATGGGATATAGAAATAGTGATTTCTTGGAAAGAGCATTTCTGTCATTCATGTGTCACATCTAGTAGAACAAAGCTTCCATTGATTTATAGCAACAAAGCCACCACTTTTTCAGAGCATGACATTTACTATTATCTCTCTGCAAAGCACAAGAGTCTCAGGGCAATGAAAAGAAGACTTGAATATCGATTAAAACAAACTTGATTCATTAAAAATACTGCTGACATTTCCACTGATCTGTGGTATTCGTTTCCTTCACATTAAACAATGTAGTCATTTAAAACTCTTAAGGTCACTGTTCTATAAATGTGCTGTGTTTAAGGTACATCCATTTATCCATTCTTTGGCCTGAAGAGAAAAAAAAAAAAAAAAAAGAAAAAAAGGGAAGAGGAAACAAATAGGGGTTGGGTGCCACAACTTGCATTGCTTCCTCTGCTCTAGAGCTGAGTTTCCTTCTGATGAGAAGGAGAAAAAGATTTCCTGGTTAGACATATGCAGGTAGTTCACATGCAGACTTTCTTGTTAAATAAAGTAATGACAAGACTTCACTCTGTTAGGTCTACTTGTTTATTCATCCCTGATGTCACTTTAAAATTGTCGTTACAGAAGGAGGTCCAGCAAAGTGCTGCCAATGCCCACACACTTCAGAACGAAACCTTAAGGCAGATCTCCTGTGAGTCCAGCTCCTGGAACCCATCAGCAGCCTCATCTGCCAGCAATTCAGCTCTTCAGCAGCATACAACTGCACCCTGTTCCCTGCTGAAAGTAAGATTTAAGATTTTTATGACTTAACAGTACAGTTCCCACAATTTCAGTACGCAGCATGGAACAGTTTAATTCAATGTTTGTTTTACAATTAAAGGGGGAGAACATACTTCTGGAGAATTTCCCATATCCAGTAGGGTTACTGCCTCAGGAAATGTTAGTAACAGCCTAAATGTGCAACCTTTGTCATAAGCATTACTCACACTCTAAAATGCCAAGACTGTATCAATTGTTTGACTTCACTTCTAACAGAGTGATGGTATTCTCTCCTCGGAGGAAGACAAATACCTCCATTAGGCAGAGGTCCTGGAGAGTGAGAGAAGACAGTCTCTCACTAGGGAAGCTGCTTTATAGCTCACAAGTCTTTCAAAAAGGGCTGAAAGGCAGATATATGCTTGTAATGATCTAAAGGAAACATAATCTTTGGAAATTTTTGGCTCTGGAAAAATCAATAGTTAAGGATTCAGTTGGCTGTAGAGGAATTTTATAATTTTATCAGCCCAAAACTTTTTCTGAACACTTTTTTTTTTTTTTTTTTTAACACAGATTTTTCTTTCACATAGGCTTTAATATTTGTATCACTGAGCCAACAGCGGTTTGGTCTTGACATATATACTTGCAGTTATGTTGGAATTTGACCTGAGCCTTCATGTGACTTCTTGGCGACAACTGGATATTCTAAAGCCTTACAGAAGAACCCATCTGTTTTTGAAGGTCAGGGAAAAGTTATTGAAATCACCTGTTTTTTCATTTGTCTGTATATTGACTAATGTAAATCTCCTAAATACTGAGACAAAATGCTTTTGAAGGGGCACTAACTAGGTGAGATTCTGATTTCCTCTTAAACCTTTGCTAAATAATAAAGCCTGAAAGACCAGAAGCATTATTTTTACACTGGGATGGTCTGATAAAAGGCTAGAATCAGGAAGATAAGAGAAAACCTAACCATGATAGAATTTGCTCTGATGGCTCCAAATGATGTTTGCCTTTTGATAAGTGTGTGTGATCTTCATTTGTTTGTTGATCAAACCCTCATGTGCCCAAGTGTGTATATTGGAAGCAGAACTAGTGCAGGTCGTCATCAGTCACTAGACTCTAACATGCAACCCAGGATATTTCTGAGTATATGCATGGCCTATCTCTCAAACAGCTGATGAATTGTCACTGTGTAAACTTTTGTGAGCAATTTCAGAATTTATAGCATCTAAATGGAAGGCAAATTGCTGCACAAAACATTTAGCAGACAAATTGGTCTATGTTTCCATACACAAAGCACACTTTGAAAGTCATCTATGGGTTGATACTTGATAAGCACACTGACACCAAAGAAAGTAGCATAGAACTTCTGAGGGGATGATCTTTTATTATTATCATTATTAACAGAACTTTGAAAGGATAATTTTTTTATTATTATCATTATTAAAAACAGCCATTAATTATTCTATTCCTGGTTCTTCCAATAATAAAGTCTGCCCTAACATCATTTATCAGTGTTTTTTGTTATAATCCCACTGTTGCAGCTAGATAATACAGCATGTTAATTATTATGGTTATCATTCAAGCATGATTTCAAAGCATTTATGTCCACACAGATTTGAGTGATCTAGGAAATAAATAAATAAATAAATAAATAAATAAATAAATAAATAAATAAATAAATAAATGGAAATTTATCTATCTTGGTGAATTACATCTGAAATAGAGATTTAATCCTCCTAGGGACATTTTAGACTGCCTGAAAGAATACAAGAAATACAAAATCTTTTTCCAACTGTGCCATAGTTGAAATTGGAAATAGAATCCAAATGATTTGAAAACTCAGAGTACTCAGAGTAATTCTTTATCCAGGGGAACTTCAAAACGTTTCTTAACATACTTCACCAAGTCTGTTCCTTACCAGACTTTCTTCCTCTTCCCATTTTGTACATGGATTAGGACCTACTGCTATAAGGTACTAGAACTAGATCAAATGTAAGGTGAAAATGTACCACAATTTCCAGAAGTAAGACAGGAAATTTTTCCTTCCTTTAAGAGCAAAAATTTATCCCCTGTAAGGATACTCAGGATCTGGCCGTTCTATTTTAGGGTTGTATGGGGTTTTATTTTATATTTTTGTCTTTCCTATGATATGATATTACAAAATGCATTCAATAGGTAAAAATTGGCTGATATTTCTAGACATATCCTTAGAGATTGAGGGAATCTTAGAGAAAAAAAAAGAATTACTGACTAGAAATGTAAATGAAATATTGGCCTAATGCTAGAGAAAAAAAGTCAATTTTTTAAATGCTTAAACATATAGATGTATACTCATACTAAATTTCTAGAAGTGAACACTTCACGTAGCTTGAAGCAGAATAATTGATTTTAGTGAAAAAGTATGTATGGCCTTACTTTCCTAAAAATATCTAAGGAAAGAAATCTCCTTCTGCAGAGCTCAGAAAAGGAATCAGTTTAGTTTCTGAAAACTTTTCAAGCTGGAAATCAGTGACTTAGACCTGGTTGGCAGCCAACCACAATGCAGCAGCTCTCTCTCCCTTCCCCTCCAGCAATGAGAAGGGACAGAGAGCCAGGCTTGGGGTTCGAGATAGGACTCGGATGGGGAAAAATTCCCCTTTATGATCATGAGCAAAAGGCAGACTCGTTAGGGGAAGGAAAAAAACATACATTTATTACAGACACTAACAACACATAACAGAGTAGGACAGTGAGAAGCATTGCCACATCTTGAGAACACCTTCCCCCCACCCCTCCCTTCTTCCTGGGCTCAGCTCTGCTCCCGGTATCTCTACCTCCTCCCCCAGTGGCACAGGGGTAGGGAATGGGGGGTGCAGTCAGCGCTGCCACTTCCTTCATCTTCGGTGAGGGGAGTGTCTGAAACTTGTTCCTCCTGCTCCATCGTGGTCCCCCTCTCACAGGAGACAGTCCTCCACAAACTTTCTCCAACATGAGTTCCTCCCATGGGCCACAGCGTTCCCCACACTACTCCGTCATGGGTCACCAACTTTCTCCGACTGGATTCCCTCCCACGGCTGCAGCCCTTCCCGAGCTGCTCTGGCGTGGGACTCCCCTGCATGCTGCAATCCTCCCAGCACTGAATTACAGCAGCGGGGCTACCTTTTCCCACGAGACCCCGGCCTTCTTCGGGCAAAGAACCTTGATCATCCGCGCAGGAGCAACAGGCCACAAATCAATGTCTGCTCCACCGTAGATCTCCATGGGTGGCAGGGGGGGGCCACCCTGCCGTCTCACCACAGGATACAGGGGGGTCTCTGCTCCGGCACACCTCCCCCCTCCTTTCTTCCTCCGTTCCTCCACTGACCTTGGTGTTCACGCAGCTGCAGCAACTCCTCCTCACAAGTCCGACTGCCCATCACCACGTCCCTTCTTAAATACGTTATCGCAGAGGTGCAGCCGATTGGCTCAATTTCCCAAACAGAAGTGGAGCTGACTTGGAGCTGGGGGAGCTTCAAGAAGCTTCTCACTGGGGGCGGCCCCTATAGACCACTCCCCTGCCACCAAAAAACCTCCACCGTTCACTCAACCCAGGACAGTTTCTGAAAATTTTTCAAGCTGGAAATCAGTGACTGCTGATTTCTGCAGCATCAGATAAAATAAATATTGATTTATAGACCAAAAAAAAAGGCAATAAAAATTTGGTCTTGCAGCAGCTCCAGTTATGAAGATATCTGTCTGTGTCATTCAGTTATTTATGCAGAAACAGCATCCTTCCTTCACTTTCTTGCTACCATGCATCTTCAGCTGTGTCAAAGCTACAAATTAAGATACTTGCTCTTCAGCCAATAAACCTGCCTTTCCTCTGAAGAACTAACCCTGGTAAATACAAATTCCATAAAGAACTTTCTGCTACCAAAGATACTGATGAGAGGCATAGGCATTTATATACAAACCTGTTAAGAAGTTGTAATAATAGAAAAGATACAAAGATTCTGGAGAGACATATTTTGCAAATAAAAGAGTTGGTTTATTGCCAGTATGTTGTCCCCTGAAACACAGTTCAGTTTTGAATGTGTTGATGTAAAATGGTAATTTATCTGCAAACCAGACTGGGGTAACATTGTAAAGAAGAGGGCCAGTTTTGAAAATGTCACAGAATACAGAACAAGTTTGGACAGATCACATTGGTTGTGACTGCTACATGAGATGCAAAATCACAGAGTTACATTTAGTTCACTCATGTTTCCTCATCACCTTAAAATTACTTTGACCTTGGTGTTCTCATATACTAGATACCACATTTTCTTTGCAACCATCTGTTTTGTCAAATAGATAATAGCAGATAGGGTTTGTGATGCTAATTCTTGTATTTGCCTGTTATCTTATTTCTTTCAGAACATTGCTGGACTAGGTAGTAACCTCTTAAGCCCAGGACCTCAATAATTTTGCTACTAGAAACATGCAGAGTAGAAGTCTGTGAGGTTAATGATGAAGAAAATGGGTAGCAGGAAGGATGACTACATGAAATATGCTAGTTATTGAAATAAATAATGGAAATAGCAGGTGGCATAAGTGAAAATGAGAAGAGATTCTAGACAAATCTTCCTGAATGTTAAACTGAGGTTAATTATGCACAATCTAATTCTACCACGTCCCCTAGTAAGCTTTAAGAAATTAAACAATCTGGCAAATGTTGTGTCCTACCCATCTCTTCATTATTAGACTGTTTTTAAAGGTATGATGTTTGTATTCACTAAAACCATGGGGCACTGCGTATCTCATGGCAGAAGGAGCAACTATATTTCAGTGACATACCAGTCATGGAAAACTGCCTCTGAGGTTATGATGGAGTTAGACTGGCTGCTGTCGATCCATTGGTGCCTGTCAGAAGGGCAAAAGACCTACTTGACACCATAATGGTGGGAGGACCTTGCTCTGTAGGTCATTATCCAAGTGATTGGCCTTGGCTTTCTTGATCCTGTGAAAGAGGCTGATATTTTAAGTCCAGTTCGTCCAGGCCAAACAATCCCATTAAGCCAAAAGCTTTAATTAGTACAAAGTCTGTGATAAAACACTCAAAAACGAGGAAAAAAGACAAGTGGGTAATACAAACACAATTAGTATGCAGTGCTCTGAAATTTAAATTCTGTTCAGCCTGGCCTTACTGGAAGAGCATATAACAGAGGTGCTATCATTACTAATGATTACCTTAATACACCCAGGAATTGTGCAGATAGAAATTAGAGTCTGTTTTTCATGCCTATCTAGACCTTTTCATGTCCTCCCTGTTTTTTTGTTTGGTTTTTTTTTTTTTTTTTTTTTTTTTTTTTTTTTTGTTTCCCCCAGTTGCTGTTTCTTATCTCTACAGTTTTAGGTCCTTTGCTTCAGGGACTCTCTTTTGTGGCACACCCCTCCAGTACAGTGGGGCCCTGACCTAGTTAAGGTTGGAAGAGCTACTGTGGTGCAAGCAAGCCATAAGAGATTGTTTTACATTTGTAGTAAATAATAAAACTATGCTATGCATGAGACACTTCCCCCTATTTCAACATCTTCCCGCACAACTTTTACTAACAAGCAAAATTAATGCCACTGAACAGAGACAAGGAAAAAATAAACTAATGGATTAGGGAATAACAGAGAAAGCAAAAGTTGAAAATGATAAAAAAGTTTCTCCCACTACAACAAATGACTAATAACTCCTTAATGCCAGTCTTAAATACAGCAAGATCCATTTACAGTGAACTCTGAAGATTCAGTGAGACCTCACAGACCTAATCCTCAAGTTGTGTGATTTTGTGAAGCTCAGTGGTGGTCAATGAAATTATAGCAATTTACACACCGGAAGGATCTGGCTCTCTCATGACTGTATTATCTCTTAGGACACAGCATCAATTAAAACTTAATACAACTAGCATCCATTTAATCTCTCCAAGGATTTACGCAGAACACTCCTACAAATGTGCCACAGGGAATGCAATAAGACCTTTTATCTCTCATTCACTTCATTTTCTGCTGTTCTAGGGGGAAAATGCTGCATTCCAGTTTGTTCTAAACATGGGACTCTGGTATGGGTGATGAATAGATTAAACCAAAGAATAGCAATTAGAATACCATTAGTCACTCAGGATATTAGAAGAGATTAAAAATAAGAGGGATGACCTTAAAGAAGATGTTCCCAAGGCCTGTGCCATGAATGTGCAGGACACATGATCCATATGGAATGGAAGTTCCAGTAGGTACAGTGAACTTGCAAGTGGAACTATAAACAGGTTTCACTGCCTAAAACTCTTCCAAAGAAGTTTATAGCAAAAGAGAAATACCTGCCCCTAAGTAGTGGCTTTTTTAAAGAGTCCCTGGTCTGAAAAAAAAAGTGCCTGCATCAGTCCCTGCTGAACAGGCTTGGCTTCTGCCTGGTTCAGAGCTGGCTTTGCTGGTTTCCCAGGCAGCCGCTTCCATCTGCAGAAGCAGAAAGCCAGTATAGTTCCCTTTGACAGAAAAATAAGA